TCTACCACATCACACTTTGACCGGCAGTGTGGGAAGGCCTTTGTTTTAACATATCCTTTCCATCCCTGAATGGCAGTATTACTTTTTAAAAATATTTACCAGCTTTGCAGAAAAAAATTATGCTTCATTTGATTTCTAATGCTGTGATTATAATGAACTGAAACTGTGTCATTTGTTTACTATGCACATTTCTTGATATGTGAATTGTCTATTCACATTGTTGCCCATTTGTAAATCAATATCTGTATCCAGAATGCTTCTGATCACAAATAACAGAAAAATCTAACCATGACTTGAACAAATTGGGGTTCATTTTTCGGACATAGCAAGACATCTGGAAGTAGGCAACTGCTAGCTGGTTTTGCGGTTTAAGGATGGGCTGGGCGTGATGGCTTATGCCTGTAATCCCAGCACTTTGGGAGGCTGAGGCAGGCGGATCACCTGAGGTCAGGAGTTCGAGACCAACCTGATCAACATGGAGGAACCAGGTCTCTGCTAAAAACACAAAAAATTAGCCAGGTGTTGTAGCACATGCCTATAAACCCAGCTACTTGGGAGGCTGAGGCAGGCGAATTGCTTGAACCCAGGAGGTGGAGGTTGGGGTGAGCTGAAATTGAGCCATTGCACACTCCAGCCTGCACAACAAGAGAGAAACTCCATCTCAAAAAAAGGATGTCAGGACGGTGTCTTTGTAACGCAAAATGGCTGCAGCTGCTCCAGACATCACATTCATATTTAAGGCAGAAAGAAAGAGGAAAGAGTGGAAACAATGGCTTACTTGGGGTATATATCCAAGAAGAGTCGTTTTTATTATAGAAGTAAAGGCCTTCTCTGATGCCTTCAAGGACATTTCTACTTTATATATCCTTGATTGGAACCATGTCATGTGGCCATCCTTAGCTGCAAGGGAATTAGAAGAGCAAGAAATACTAGACTTTGGCCAATCCTGTTCCACCCCCTGAGCCTGAATATTCTGGTGTTGACAACGACATCGGAAAGGAGGGAAGTTGAGGAAAATGCATTCTAGAAGGCAGTCAACACTGTTCAATGCGGCTCGGTGTGGTTTTTGTCTTACTGATTTATACATTTCACTAGACATTAAAGAAATTGACTTTTGTCCTACGTATTTCCCTATGGTTTCAGTTTGCACGTGACTTCTCTTTATCTGAAAATAGATTTTTTCTCAGTTTTATGTAGCCAAATGTACCTCCTTTTAAATTTCCTTTTTCGTTTTCTTTTTGGGATGGTCTTGCTCTATCACCCAGGCTGCAGTGCAGCAGTGCAATGACAGTTCATTGTAACCTCTAACTCCTACACTCAAGAGACCTCCCGCCTCAGCCTCCTGAGTAGCTAGGACTATGGACATGCCTACCTAATTTTTAAAAAGTCTTGGCCAGGCACGGTGGCTCATGCCTGTAATCCCAGCATTTTGGAGGCCGAGGTGGGTGGATCAACTGAGGTCAGGAGTTCCAGACCAGCCTGACCATCATGGTGAAACCCCATCTTAATAAACTAAATAAATAAATAAAATGAATAAAATCTTTTGGTGGAGACAAGGTCTCACTATGTTGCCTAGATTGATCTCAAAACCCTGGCCTCAAGTGATTCTCCTGCCTCACCTTTTGTTTTTAAGATGAGGTAACTCTTCTCACATGGAGATTAGAGTAATATTCACTTCTAGTTTTAATTTTTTTAATGTAACTTTTTAATTACATATATTTTATACTACATACATTTTAATTACAAAATATCACCTAACATATATTTTGTTTATAGGTAGGATTACATAAATTTATTTTTTTCAAAGAGTTAGCAAGTTGTCAATAAAACCATTGATTTCCATCTCCTTCTGAGGTCCCTGATAATTTCCTTTAGGGAAAAGACTGGAGCAACCAAATATATAATAACCACAAAGAGCTGATGAGACAAAGTGCCATAGCACCAGCTTTCATAAAATCTAAGAAGGAAATCATAGGGGAAAACACAGCTTTCTTTTTTTTTGAGACGGAGTTTCCCTCTTGTTACCCAGGCTGGAGTGCAATGGCGCGATCTCGGCTCACCGCAACCTCCACCTCGGTTCAGGCAATTCTCCTGCCTCAGCCTCCTGAGTAGCTGGGATTACAGGCACGCACCACCGTGCCCAGCTAATTTTTGTATTTTTAGTAGAGACGGGGTTTCACCATGTTGACCAGGATGGTCTCGATCTCTTGACCTTGTGATCCACCCACCTCGGCCTCCCAAAGTGCTGGGATTACAGGCGTGAGCCACCATGCCCGACCGAAAACACAGCTTTCATACAGAGAAGTGTGATTGTTGTTGTTCCTATGTCACATACACAGTTAATGTAGTGCAGTGAATTGGTTTCACAGAGATAAAAAGAAGCAGAGAAACCAATCAGGGGACAGTGAGTAAACCTTGTGTGAAGTACTCTCCCGCCTGAAAATCGCTTGGCAGGACCAAAGGGTTCTTCTGCCCTGGGAGCTATTTAGTCAGGCAACTGGAAGAAACACTTCTGAATTTAGTTGCTTTGGTTTTGTCTCACTACGAGTTATGCATGAACACAAACGCTGTCGTGCCCACAAGCCGACTAGAGCCTGGCCTCGTGAACTGGCTTCTTGGAACCCCACTGTAGCTGTTCGCATTGGCTCGACTGGAGCGGTGATGTTCAATGCCCGTTTCAAACACGGCTGTCGTGCATTTTATGTACGGTTCCCTTCTTCTCTTTCAGACGTCGAAATGTGTATGACTTTGGGGACTGTGTGTATTGAGGAGAGATCTCAGTCGCTGGCTGAATGACTACATTTGCACTCGAGCTTGCACTTCGAAGCTCCTCTTCAGCATTGCCAGGGGCCAAGTGAGAGCTCTGTGTGCTCTGTGTGTCCCCTAAGTAGTGGGTATTAAGGGCTTCCCTCCTCGGAGTAGAGAAAGCTCTGGCAGGGGAGGTCTGACAATGCCCTCTCCATGGGGCGTCTATCAGGGAGGGTCTGCCAGCCTCTCCTCACTCCCTGGTCTGTTTCCCAGTGCCTCCTCCTCCTTAAGGACGTCAGTTTTCTCCCCTATTCTCAGCAGCCCCCGTCTTCGCCCCACCAAAACGCATTCTTATTTGTAGTTTATATTATCGCACTGGCTCCATAGTAGGTAACTGCAAAGGCCAATAAATTAGGTCCTGTCTGTCCGCGGTTGTGTGACTGCTCTGCCTCTGCCATCCAGCAAGGCTTTAAAAGGTTTCTGAGTAACAGGCTCCCTCCAGGGTACCTGTCTCCACCTCCAAAGCCGCAGCAGGCCTTCCCCCAGCCAGCTCTACCCAGCTCTTTGTACAGCCAGTTCTACTGAGTTCAGGCCCCACCTTCTTCCTTACACTTGCTTTCATTTCCCCCACGTGTCAACTTGTAACCCCTTGTCCTGGGCCTTCTGGAGCCTTAAGGAGAGTTCACAGTCACAAAACAATACATAAATGTAAATACAAAAAGCAAACGTACATGTTTTGTTAAAAACAACTTGCACGTGTCTAAAGCCCACCTCACGAATATGGTAGATGTCACAATTTCCAAACAGAGCTCCAAAACAACCGTGATAGTTTTATCATCAGAGTGATAATACTTTTCTAGGGCAGGAGCTGTGGCTCGTGCCAGTAACCAACACTTTGAGAGGTCAAGGTAGGAGGATCACTTGAAGCCAGGAGTTCAAGACCAGCCTGAACAACGTAATGAGACCCCAGCATCTCTACAGAAGAATTTAAGAATTAGCCAGGTATGGTGGCATATGCCTGTAGTCTCAACAATTTGAGAGGCTGAGGTGGGAGAATTGCTTGAGCACAGGAGTTTGAAATTGCAGTGAGCTGACCACGCCACCGCACTGCAGCCTGGGCAACAGAGTGAGACCTTGTCTCTAAAGAATAAAAAAAATAGGCTGGCCACAGTGGCCCACACCTGTAATCCCAGCTTTGGGAGGCCGAGGTAGAAAAATCACTTAAGGTCAGGAATTTGAGACCAGCCTGGCCAACACAGTAAAACCACATCCTACTAAAAATACAAAAATTAGCCAGGCCTGGTGGCATGTGCCTGTGATCCCAGCTACTGAGGAGGCTGAGGCAGGAGAATTGCCTGAACCCAGGAGGCAGAGGTTGCAGCGAGCCAAGATCCTGCCACTGCACTCCAGCCTGGGCAACGGAGTGAGACTCCATATCAAAAAAATAAAAAATGCTATTCTGTTCTCAGCTGACCTGAGCTTAATCTCTGGGGTGCTGCACTCACAGGTGGCAGCCTCCTGAAGCTGGAGTATTCCACAGCTCCAGGGGCCCGGGTCACTTCAGGAGGCAGGCCAGGCTCTGGGGCCCGGGTCACTTCAGGAGGCAGGCCAGGCTCTGGGGCCCGGGTCACTTCAGGAGGCAGGCCAGGCTCTGGGGCCCGGGTCACTTCAGGAGGCAGGCCAGGCTCTGGGGCCCGGGTCACTTCAGGAGGCAGGCCAGGCTCTGGGGCCCGGGTCACTTCAGGAGGCAGGCCAGGCTCTGGGGCCCGGGTCACTTCAGGAGGCAGGCCAGGCTCTGGGGCCCGGGTCACTTCAGGAGGCAGGCCAGGCTCTGGGGCCCGGGTCACTTCAGGAGGCAGGCCAGGCTCTGGGGCCCGGGTCACTTCAGGAGGCAGGCCAGGCTCTGGGGCCCGGGTCACTTCAGGAGGCAGGCCAGGCTCTGGGGCCCGGGTCACTTCAGGAGGCAGGCCAGGCTCTGGTGACCCTCTTGGCTCAGACCTACTTTCCTTCCTGGGAGGCAGACAGTCATCTGGAGTTTTTCACTGGACATCAACCACCAGCATTCAGCATCGGGACGAGCACTGCAATTTGCCTATTTTTCTTGGAGCTGCCAGCTTTGATCAGCCCCTCCATTTGCAACATTGAGGCAGTTGTCTTTGGAACCTGTCACTGTCCCAAACAGAGAACTCTGGAGTTCTAGGGACCTCCATGTTCCTCTCTGAAGTGAGAGCCCCATAGATTTTTCTTCCATATCATGATTCAGTAACACCTCTGTTCAATAGCACTCATTTATTTAGCAGATTATTTGAGATTCTACTGTGAGCCTGGTACTGGAGAAATAAAACTGTTCTCTACAACCTTTCCATGTGAAGGAGGCTGATTTTAAAACGGTACATTCAGGCTGGGTGCGGTGGCTCATACCAGCACTTTGGGAGGACATGGTGAGCAGATCACGAGGTCAGGAGTTCAAGACCAGCCTGGCCAACATGGTAAAACCCCCGTCTCTACTAAAAATACAAAAATTAGCTGGGCATCGTCATGCATGCCTGCAATCCCAACTACTCAGAAGGCTGAGGCAGGAAAATCACTTGAACCTGGGAGTCGGAGGTTGCAGTGAGCCGAGACAGCACCACTGCACTCCAGCTGGGTTACAGAGCGAGACTCTGTCTCCGATACATACATAAATAAAAGCAGTGCATTCACTGTAACATGACAAATACCATTAGTCACACAGAGGGCGGCAGAGGTCATTTAGCCGTCCTCCAGATGACCGGCTGAAGGAGGTGATGCCTGAACTGTGTCTTGAAGGAGGTGAGAGGTGAATAAAGGTGAAGTGAACGGCAAGTGGAGTGAACAACATGAGGCCGTAAGATGTGAAAGACCGCGGGCAGATGCTGACACCGTCAGCAGTGGATAGCCCCACCATGCAACGTGAGAGGCAGCCACAGGCAAGAGAGTGAGCTAGAGGTGGACAGTGGACTTGTGTGTTGAGCGAGGCCTCTGAGCTTCACAAAACTGGAGGGGAGGAGGAGCCGTTGAAATGTTTACAGTCATTGAATGACAAGGTCAAATTAGGTGGATGGTTCTGGGTGGTGAGTGAAGCCTGGATTAGAAGAGAACTGTGTTTAGGGGCCTCTACTGGGGAGGAAGAGATGGCAAGCGATTTAAGAAATATTTGGAAAGTCGAATGAGCAGGACTTGGTGGCTGACTGGCCACAGAAGGAAGGAGAAAGGAGAGTTCATATGAACTCAGGTTTCTGGCTTTTGACCTACTGTTTACCCTGAAACAGTGGGTCCAAGTGGACTCTCATAGTTTGTGATTCCAGGGTAAGATGATATATCTGAATACTAAAGGACATCAGTTCTTCCATCAACCTTGAAGTATTTAAAGGCATATCTCTTGCTGACATTATCTCTCAGTGACTGAGGTCACATTTTAGGCCCGTGACCAAGACTGGCAGTTGGGGAGAGGTGTGGACAGATTTCAAGGTAGAATTCTGGCCAAGGGAGCATGGAACTTGTTCCCCAGCTCCAGATGGCCCAGTGAAGGACTTCTGGGGTTGAAGCTGAGAGCAGCCACCTGACAGTGGAGGAGGGAACCGATTGGCTCTCGGGAACCACCACATGGGCCAGCCATGGCGAGCAGCCTGCCAGGCAGCAGGTGCCAGCGAACCAGGAGAAACCGTGCATGCTGTCAGTTCCTCCCCTGCAGCTTTGGACTTCAGTCAGGAGCTTTATCTCTCCTATTCTCAGCAAAAAATAATTAAGGCCAACTGATTATTGAGACACCCTCACCCCTGCCCCCCTAAAAAGTAAGACACTTTATTTCAAGTAACTGCTTCTCCTCCATGAAGCAGTAACACGCTGGCTTTCACCGGCACCCTCCCCTTTGGGGTCAGCAGAAGGGTGTTTCGTCTTCAGCAAGTGGGAAACCCCCCGTCTTCAGTGTTTTCTGCCCACCAGGATAGGGCACTGTGGATTTTGCTTTTGAAGTTTGTCCAGAGTCACTCAAGAAAGACAAAGCCGTCATTCTACCGGGTGCCACCCACCACCCACCAGGTAAGCTGCTGTGCGCCAGGGTGAAGCCCCCGGAAGACTGTTTGGCCTTGGTATTTCAGAATTTGCTTGAATATGTTGAACATGCACCCCTGGATTCAAAACGGCGAGGCTAAGAATAATATCTTCAGCAGGCACAAGGTTAAAGGAAACACATAACTCTTTCCAGTTTATCATGATGTTTGCTTAAGTAAGTCCGATTCACATTTGGGGGATCAAGATTTGGGAGGTTTCCATTTTTACTGGAGAAATACTTGACGAATATTTTGAAGGCCTAATCTTTGCATGGGCTATGCAATCTGCTATGGTACATGTGAAGTGTAGGACCCAAGAAATGCACAATCTGTTTGTAGGACAGGACATGAGAACTTAAGAATGTTAGGCTATGCATGACTAAGTAGTTAATGGATGGCACGGACAGCAGTGAGGTGGGGTTTGGAGAAGAGAAAGATGGATGAGAGCTGCAATTATCAGGCAGAACTTCACCGAGGCTGGTCTTGAGGTGGCGGGTGAGAAGTGAGAGGCAGGTAGAGGAGAACACCTCCCAGATCGGGCTTAATGCTTCCATCAGACCAATCCCACACAACACATGTACTGACCTATGACCAGTAGTTGGAATACGTAAATCTTCGATTCAGAAAGACTGTTCATATCGGTATTGGAAACTCGAGTCCTAGAGAAGGCTGGCATTCATTCATGGTGAAACAGCAGGCTTGTCAGATTTCGTCCTGCCTGGCTTCCTTCTCTTCCCCTCTCCAGCAAATCTGTTCACCTTCGGTAACTTCTACTAAATGTTCACTAATTTTTAACAAGCATGCCATAGAAAATGAGATTTAGTTAACTGTTTTTATTTTAAAATTCTGTAAATGTTAAATAGAAGAGAGGCACGAAATCATTTCTGATAAAAATAGAAGTTAAATGTGTGTTAAAGTGTTTTGTGGCCGCTTTCTCCCCAGCTCTGGCTCTCGGTTGAGGAGTGATTCCGAAGTGTGTTGGTGCTGTCTGTGTTGAGTGACTGGCACAGGACCACAAAAGGAAACCTTTAGTTTCCCCTCCAACTCTTGTTCTTTGCATGAGAGCATAGGAAGCCTCCAGAAGACTTGCATGATCTTAGTATTGAGTCTTCTTCTATGTATCTATCAAGGAAATGAGAGCATTTTGGAGTGACTGGGGTTATTCATTTATTTATTTTAGAGACAGGGTTTTGCCATATTTTCCAGGCCATTCTTGAACTCCTGGGCTCAGGCAATCCTCCCACCTCGGTGTCCCAAAGTGCTGGACTTATCAGCATGAGCCACCATACTTGGCCTGGAATTCTTATTTATAACCCAGTGACACAAGACTGTAATGAAGCTATTAATAGATAATAATCAACCTCAAAATCAAACTCATGGTTTGATCCATTTCTCTTGATGCAAGGCCAGCAAATAAAAACTTTGTAGCCACTTAAAACAAACAAAACAAAAACAAGGCTTCCTTCACTCAGAAGGAAAGTCTGCAGATGAAAGCCTCCACCGGTTACTTCCCCAGCCCCCTTCATGCACGCCTTACCTGCTCCCCATCCCCCTTCATGCACCCTGTACCTACTCCCCATCCCCCTTCATGCACGCCTTACCTACTCCCCAGCCCCCTTCATGCACGCCTTACCTGCTCCCCATCCCCCTTCATGCACCCTGTACCTACTCCCCATCTCCCTTCATGCATGCCTTACCTACTCCCCATCCCCCTTCATGCACCCGTTACCTACTCCCCAGCCCCCTTCATGCACGCCTTACCTACTCCCCAACCCCCTTCATGCTCGCCTTACCTGCTCCCCATCCCCCTTCATGCACGCTTTACCTACTCCCCAGTCCCCTTCATGCACGCCTTACCTACTCCCCATGTTATTCACTCATTCACTGCAGAATGAGCCTCACTCGTGAAGAACAATAATGGATTCAGACCCAGATGTAGTGGAGTTTATTCCCCAGCAAGTCTAGTTCTGTCTTTTAAGGCCTGTCTTTATGAACGCTTTCCCAGCCCTTAGCTAGAATTAATCTTACCCTTCTTCATAATGCCAAAGCGAAAATCTTGATTTTCTGTCAATATTAATTATCAATCATGTCCTGGATTATATCATAGCTACTTTGTATGTATCATTTTCCACCAACAGATCCTGAATTGCCTAGTGTCTTCACATTATCCTTACACATTAAAATGCTCATTATGGTTGAACTGGATTTTTTTCCCCCACTCGAAAAAATGTTTTTCAACCCGTTAGCTAAGTGCCAGCAGAAGTTAGATCGTGTGACAAAGAATATGTAGAAAGGGCATTGTAAACAAAAGAGAAACTTGGAAAATTGCCTAGAGAGCATGGCAGAGTGCTTCGAATGACTGGCACCCACGGCTTAAATGACAGAGTCATGGGAAACAAGTCCAGATAGGTAAGCATGGGGCTGGTGATAAAGAACTGAGCTTTACAGGTGAGGAAGATGAGATGCATAAATGTTATTTGATCAGCCCAAATAATAAAGGGATTAGAACCCCTCACCTGATTATCCCCAGCCAGGCCCAGAACCCTCACGTAGGCTCAGACTACCATGCCAGGCCGGGGCAATTGGCCAGGAAAAGATGAAGATAGTGACAGACAGTGTCTATGACACGAATGTCTGTGCGGTTGGACCACGTTATTCCTCTCGTTGTTGTTATCACGCAACTTGAAGAAAGACAAGAGCAATAGGAAGCAAACAATCAAGAAGCAGGTGTACTGAAGACCGCATTCAGCACTGAGCTGTGGCACGCTGTAGTGGCCAGTCCGAGCTCCCAGTTACTGTGATATAAGACCACATTCAGCACCGAGCTGTGGCACACTGTCGTGGCCAGTCCGAGCTCCCAGTTACTGTGATATAAGACCACATTCAGCACTGAGCTGTGGCACACTGTAGTGGCCAGTCCGAGCTCCCGGTTAGTGTGATATAAGACCACATTCAGCACTGAGCTGTGGCACACTGTCGTGGCTAATCTGAGCTCCCAGCTAGTGTGATATAAGACCACATTCAGCACCGAGCTGTGGCACACTGTAGTGGCCAATCTGAGCTCCCAGTTAGTGTGATATAAGACCGCCTTCAGCACCGAGCTGTGGCACACTGTAGTGGCTAATCCGAGCTCCCGGTTAGTGTGATATAAGACCACATTCAGCACTGAGCTGTGGCACACTGTCGTGGCTAATCTGAGCTCCCAGCTAGTGTGATGTAAGACCACATTCAGCACCGAGCTGTGGCACACTGTCGTGGCTAGTCCGAGCTCCTGGTTAGTGTGATATAAGACCACATTCAGCACTGAGCTGTGGCACACTGTAGTGGCCAATCCGAGCTCCCAGTTAGTGTGATATAAGACCACATTCAGCACTGAGCTGTGGCACACTGTAGTGGCTAATCCGAGCTCCTGGCTAGTGTGATATAAGACCACATTCAGCACTGAGCTGTGGCACACTGTCGTGGCTAATCTGAGCTCCCAGCTAGTGTGATAAAAAAGACCACATTCAGCACCGAGCTGTGGCACACTGTAGTGGGAGTGCGAGCTCCCGGTTAGTGTGATATAAGACCACATTCAGCACTGAGCTGTGGCACACTGTAGTGGCCAATCTGAGCTCCCAGTTAGTGTGATATAAGACCACATTCAGCACTGAGCTGTGGCACACTGTAGTGGCTAATCCGAGCTCCCGGTTAGTGTGATATAAGACCACATTCAGCACTGAGCTGTGGCACACTGTAGTGGCTAATCCGAGCTCCCGGTTAGTGTGATATAAGACCACATTCAGCACTGAGCTGTGGCACACTGTAGTGGCCAATCCGAGCTCCCGGCTAGTGTGATATAAGACCACATTCAGCACCGAGCTGTGGCACACTGTAGTGGGAGTCCGAGCTCCTGGTTAGTGTGATATAAGACCACATTCAGCACTGAGCTGTGGCACACTGTAGTGGCCAATCCGAGCTCCCAGTTAGTGTGATATAAGACCACATTCAGCACTGAGCTGTGGCACACTGTAGTGGCCAATCCGAGCTCCCAGTTAGTGTGATATAAGACCACATTCAGCACTGAGCTGTGGCACACTGTAGTGGCCAATCCGAGCTCCCAGTTAGTGTGATATAAGACCACATTCAGCACTGAGCTGTGGCACACTGTAGTGGCTAATCCGAGCTCCCGGTTAGTGTGATATAAGACCGCATTCAGCACTGAGCTGTGGCACACTGTAGTGGCTAATCCGAGCTCCTGGTTAGTGTGATATAAGACCACATTCAGCACCGAGCTGTGGCACACTGTAGTGGCCAGTCCGAGCTCCTGGTTAGTGTGATATAGACCACATTCAGCACCGAGCTGTGGCACACTGTAGTGGCCAGTCCGAGCTCCTGGTTAGTGTGATATAAGACCACATTCAGCACCGAGCTGTGGCACACTGTCGTGGCTAATCCGAGCTCCCGGTTAGTGTGATATAGACCACATTCAGCACTGAGCTGTGGCACACTGTTGTGGCCAATCCGAGCTCCTGGTTAGTGTGATATAGACCACATTCAGCACTGAGCTGTGGCACACTGTCGTGGCTAATCTGAGCTCCCGGCTAGTGTGATATAGACCACATTCAGCACCGAGCTGTGGCACACTGTCGTGGCCAGTCCGAGCTCCCGGCTAGTGTGATATAGACCACATTCAGCACCGAGCTGTGGCACACTGTCGTGGCCAGTCCGAGCTCCCGGCTAGTGTGATATAGACCGGGCTGTGAATTACACTCTGAAGCAAGTGGCAAGAGTTGCTGATTTTGCCATTTGCTTGGCTCTTTACCTTGAATTTCATAGAACCAATATTTCAAATGGTACCTGGGCTAAAATAATCAGCAAAGGTGTTGAGCTGATAAATTATCAAAAACTATAGGCCGGATGTGGCAGCTCACGCTTATAATCCAGCACTTTGGGAGGCCTCGGTGGGTGGATCACCCGAGGTCAGGAGTTTGACACCAGCCTGGCCAA